ACGTTGAATCTCTCATGATAATGCAATGCCGCTGAATGCTTCGAGCTAATTACAAGCAAGCCCCATACATAAACCTGACTTCCTTCATCTTCACATCGCGATACATCCAAAGACATGAAAAATATATATGTATTACCCCTAAATTATTACAACTCCTCACTTTCTCCCCATGTCTCGCACTGTCAAACCAACAAAAGAAGCAGTCCCTTGCTCGACCGTCGTCCCCTCCCAAGGTACCCCACACAAGCCATGAAGAGTACCCGTAGAGAAAACCAACTGAACAGTAAAAAGAAGAGAGATAGTCAAGAGAAGTCTCTATCTAGCCATAAATCTCCCCTTTCAGGCGGGCAACGCTCGGGATCAAGAAATGATTAGAATTTGCCGGCCGTGTAAAAACAAAACATCGCACCCCCTTTTTTTGTGTCGTGACGCTATCCCATCCCCGGTAGGCGCTTAGAAGAGAGCAGCAGCGGCGGCAACAGCGGCGAGGACACCACCAGCGACCTTGGCGTTCTGGGCAGCACCGGCTGTGAAGATGGGCGGCGGGGCGGGCTTGGTGGAGGTGGGCGGCGAAATAGTGCCAACCGACTTGGTCGGGAGGGTGACCGGCGGAGGCGGGGGAGGAGGGGGAGGCGCAACCGACGACGGAGGCGGCGGCGGCGGCGGCGGCCACGGCTTGGACGACACCGGCGGCGGAGGCGGGGGAGGAAGCGACGTCGGCGGCGGCGGAGGCGGGGGCGGCGCCGGGGTGGTGCTGACGGGGCAGACCGTGGTGCTGATGGGCACAATGACCGTGGTGATGACGGTGCTGTGCGCAGGGCACGAGGGCACGGTCGGGGCACAGCTGGTGACCGTCTTGATCGTGGTCGAGTAGACAGTGCTGGTCGTCCAGAGGTCCGGAGGAGGGCCGCCCCAGGTCGGGAATGGCTTGGCCGTCAGGGTGGGAGTAATGGGCGGCGGCGCGTGTTCAAACGTCGCCGCAGCGTATGCGGCGAAGCCGACGACGGAGAAGACGGTATTCTTCATCCTTAAAGCCTTTTTTCTTTTGTTGTTTCGGGTATCGTTGACAAGCAGGTTATGAAAGTGACAAGACCCCTTTTACTAGCCAGCGAGTGACAAGAACGAGTGGATGGTATCGGGAGACACTGAAGACAAAGCAGGAAAACAGACAGGGCTGGGAAGGGGGGGAAGCTGGCCCTTCAAATATGTTTTCCGGGTGCCCTGACGGAGGGGACGGGATACGAGAGAGAGCTCTCGTCCCTGTTCCTGCCCGGCAGCCTGAACAAGCAGGATCAGGTCAGGGGGGTGGGAACAAACCGCTCCATTACGCCGACGGTCTTGACCGACAGAGCAATGACGAAAATAGAGGACTTACGGGCGCGAGGCCATTGGGCGGCGAGATGCGCTGATCTGGGTCGCCATTACGGCTAAAGGGGAAATGTGCTGAGGTTGTGTGCCTTGCAATAAACATCCCTTACTCGACCCAGACTATAGGTCCGACACTTGCCCGGCTGCGAGTCCATGAATGGTCAGTGACCGCATCGAAGCGAGAGACAGCAAGCAGGTTGTAGACCACTTTGTCCAGCACAGCCCCAAGGCCTTTCTCCGGCGCGAATGGCGCTGAGGTTAAGCTTTTCCCACCGTGATGGGTTGGTTCCCTGTGGTTGGCAGCTCATCGGGGCAACACCCGATCGAGTCCCGATGTCACGTCACCCCCATCTGGTACCTGCATTGGTGTGTGCCTTCAGATTGCTGTGCACCATCAGCCCGAGGAGAGTCCCTGCATCGAGGATAACGTCAACTGAGTCAAGTCCAAGTTTGTCGACGACAAGGTCGACAGGACAAACAGGATTCTCGGTCAAGCGCGCGGATCGTCATGCGATGTGTCACCAAAACCCGGCAGAGGGAGGTCCATATACCCTCTCTATATGCATTAAGACAAACATTGTCCTGCAGGGTTGGCGGTTGGCCACTCAGCCGGTAGAAAACGTTTGTTCATGCGCGGACCGTCGGCCTGGGGAAGGCTTCTACCGTGATGAAATGGATAATAAGCCAGGCCCTCCCCACACTTTGGGGAGAACTGGGACATGATCCGTCCAGGCCTGATTCCGTTCCGACGGTCTGCGAGATTGCGTCAGGGTCGGCCGTCGAGGACCATGACAGGTCTCTATAGGGACGAAAAGCAGCCTGATTCAAGCCGTCGTCGAGTTTTTCGCGCCGCAATATGTCATCATGAACGACGGCGTTGCCAGGCGACCGACGGACCAGGCACGGCAGATTGAACCGCTGGGTCTGGAACGCTGCCTCCGAGGACAAGTGCCGACAAGCCAGGCACCAAGGCCAACCATGCTGTGTGACCGCCGGCGACTGGCGCGATGATGGCCGATGTCTTTGCCAAGCCAAGGCTGCGGTCATCCTGCAACGGCAAGTGCTGTGGTGTAAAAATATGTCTGACTCGGAGGCAGGTTTGGATGCCAAGACAGCGAGGCCTGGGGTCGAGTCTGAGGGATCTTGGGGTCCGGCCGCTGTGCCACTGCATTCTGCGTATTCCGTACTGTGTAAGCAATCCTGGATCAGATGCAGAGTCGAAACGAACACATGGACGAACCAAACCTGCAAGCTCTTGGCACAGCGATTCCGGCAGTGCTGTCGCAGCGCGGCATCATAAATAGGGACGCGATTCCGGTTCTAGCGAAGAATCGCTGCACGAGAAGGGGATTGCGAGGGGGGGACTGCCCGGACTCGATACGCTGCCATCGCGTACGAATGGCGGGGCACTGGGAGCTCTGCGGGGATCCTGGCCGAAGATCCTGTGGCTGAACACCCAGAGATGGGATGATGTGGCTGCTAGCGTATCCCCTGCGCCCCGAGCACACGGCTCAAGCACGGGCTGCGACCGTTAGTGGCTGGCCCCAACCCGAAGCTGCAAGTTGCGCCTCACCGCGAGCTGTCAACCACGTCGTCAGAAAGGCCATGTTGCAACGCTAGCCGTTTGAACAGCTTTCTGTTTCTCTTTTTGTTTTCTTTCTTGTGTCCATATAATTCCTGCTTCTCTCCTAGACGTGCGGGCTGCAATAGACGAGACGATTCGAGGCTGCGGCATTGGCTCGGCACAAACGCGCAAGCAGTTTCGACAAGTGTCATCTTTAAAAGAATCGAGACAACCAACCTAGCAGGCAGGGATGGCGGCTCAAGTAGACCCGGCAACTCGCAAACGCGTGCTGAGGGTTATTTTTGTTTCCCTCCTGCTCGACCTCGTACGTTCGTGTTCCTGACTTGCTCTGACTTGACTAACGCGCCGTTGTTAGATCTCGTTTACCTTCATCCTCCCCTTATTCCCCAAGCTTCTCGAGTTCTACCGCAACGCCGAAGCCCCAACCGATGCGAGCGCTGCGCCGTCCAAGACATTGCTGTCGAGCATCCTGGGGTACCTGAACGCATACAAGGCATCGTTTGCCCGGCCCATCGACTCCCGTTATGATATTGTGCTGCTAGGTGGCGCCTTGGGCAGTCTCTTCTCGTTGGTCACCCCGGCCCCGCCTTGCATGCTTCGAGGCTAACACCCCTTGCAGCCTTCTCCAAGCCGTAGCCTCGCCTATTATCGGACATCTCTCGGACCGCTATGGTCGACGCACCGCTTTGCTTGCCAGCATGGCGGGCAACATTCTGTCGGTTCTTCTCTGGGTCGTCGCCGTCGACTTCCGGACCTTTCTGGCTTCCCGGATCGTTGGTGGCCTGTCCGAGGGCAACGTGCAGCTAGCCACGGCCATTGCCACCGACATCTCGGATACCAACAACCGCGGGGCCACCATGGCCCTCATCGGCGCCTGCTTCTCCATTGCCTTCACCTTCGGGCCGGCCCTAGGTGCATGGCTCAGCACGATTGCTACTGTCGCTGCCAACCCGTTTGCCACGGCCGCGGGTGTATCGCTGTTCCTCATCGTTACAGAAACCGTCTATCTGTACTTTAGTCTTCCCGAGACGCTCCCGTCGCTTGCAAGGAAGGAGAGTGGTTCGGCTGCGGAGAAGCGGGTCGACGCGCCCCCGGCGCCGGTGCAGAGGACCAACTCGCACTTCCTCCTGAACTTTGTTCACTTCACCTTCTTGCTCTTCTTCTCGGGCATGGAGTTCTCCCTACCCTTCATGACATACGACTTGTTTGGGTATAGCTCAGCTAAGAACGGGCGGTTGTTGGGCTACGTTGGTTTGATTGCGTCGCTCCTCCAGGGTGGTGTTACCCGTCGCCTCCCGCCTCTATTGTCGGTCCGGATTGGCGTGGTCGCTTGCCTGATTGCATTTGGGCTGCTAGGTCGCACTTCAACTGTGTCAGGTCTCTACTCGGCAGCAACGTGCCTGGCGACGACGTCGGCTACTGTCGTGACGGGTCTGAATGCGCTCAGCAGCTTTGAGGCCAACGAAGGCGAGAGAGGAGGGAAGCTGGGTATGCTCAGGAGCTGGGGTCAGCTTGGAAGAGGGCTGGGGCCGGTTCTGTTCACCAGCGTGTACTGGTGGGCGGGAAGAGAGGTTGCTTACGGTATGGGCGCGACAGGCATCGCGGCCGTGAGCCTGATGGTTCTGTTCGGCCTAAAGACACCGCCTGGGTCGGTAAAGGCCAAGACGAAGGTCCAGAATGTGGTCAAAAAGGAATTGTAAATACCCATTGGGCAATACATGGTGTATGATAGTGTAGAGGGTGATATATTTATGCTAGACGATGCGCTATTGCGAGATGTTATCCTTCTAGAACCACAAAGAAGCACTCTGGTGTAAGGCGAGGTGTTGTGAGACATGTATGTCCGACGTCTTTGTGCTCGTATGCTCCCACTTGCGCAGCATGACGAGTGGCATTCGCCGAATGAAGGCACAGCACGAGTCCGAGACTGCGGAACACGAAGTCTAAGTAGGTCGGTGCACCTCAGCCTGGTCACGTCGGCATGGAATGGTATAAAAGGGGTATGTGATATTGAAGGCAGGGGAGGAAAGAGCAAAAAATAACTGCCAGCCCCCGGCGGGACTCGAACCCTAGTCGTTTGTTAGTCGTGACCACGATCGCGAGGTGAGGAGGGCTTACCGCAATCTTCAGATTAGGAGTCTGATGAGTTACCATTTCTCTACGAGGGCAGTAGTCGAACGCCCCATACCGCTGCGTCATGTCCGCAGAATGACGCCTCGGTATGGTTTGTTCTTTGTCGTTGGAGAACTGACCGGATTTCTCTGCTTATATAGTGCCCTTCCGTTTGTCTTCTTTGTCGGGGGGTGTGTGCCCGTGTGACCGGGTACCCGTCAAGGTACCGTACCCGCGTGCGAGGTGACCTGGTAGGGACGTACCTGTTAACCAACCTTGATCTCGGCGAAGGTTCTTCTTACCACGCTGTTGGGCCATTGGTTTCTTGAACTCGCGATCACTTGCTTGGTGTTTTGCTGAACCACCACCTCGACTGGTCACATATTGTGGATTACCTAGGTAAGTCACCTCTTTTCCTTCCAATTTTACTCTGACTTTCTTCCTTCCCTCTTCGTTCCTTCCTATCAATGCTATGTCGACATCGTGCTGTCTTAATCTAAACCCACTGCCCCCACGGCCCTCTCATTGTCATTGGTGCCCCGCTAAGGCATCTTCCCGGTCTCATGGCCCTGCAGTGTTTTAATCCGTTTGGTCATGCGTCATGGTGGATAGCTGCTGCAACGGCCGGCTGGCCTAATCTCTGTGATCTAGCAGGTTGAGCGGCAAATGGGAAACCGTGGTCCCAAGGCCACGATATTTGTTAACTTGGGCCCCTACATTCCTAGGGACATTTGTTGCCGCAATAAGCTGGCTCTGGATCCTTGGCTTCCTCGATTTGCATGTGACAGCAACACTGATTCCTGCCAACTACTTTATCCTCTTGATTAACACAGGCTCTTCTGTGTGAACTGCGAGTCTTGGAGCCCTAGGACAGCACAAGATTTTCAGTCAATCCACGTAAACCAGACCGGGTATATAACTGAGGACTATAACAGAGGATTATAGGTACGAATACAACCAGAACAAAAGTCCATCGCTGAAGTTACCTGGTACCTGTTGGGCCAGGAAGGGGCACTCCTAGCCAGATAAGAACAGCACGGGCCTGGACTGCTCAATTCAACAGGGCCATAGGGCTCACCATCCTTCTTCCACCATCCTCATACTCCAATAACGCCAATCCAGGAGAATCCCAATACCGAACCAAAGCCGTACACCCAAGCGCCTCCTCAAAGTTCTTCCGACAATCAAGGGTGACCCGGGGTGTACGTAGCCGACATGGAATATGGGTTGTGGACGAGTGGCGCGGCCACAGGCTGCGACGTAGTCGGGAACGTCACAGGCGCTGGTCCGGGTGAGGATTCACCCGGAGACGACGCATTGGATGCTTTCAACGGATGTTGAGCATAATACTCAACAGCCGCACCCTGGCCTACGGTGGCCGGCGAGTATGGAGGCGGAGCCGCCGTTTGCTGAGCGTATCCCATGTCGGGCGAGTGATTCGGGCTGGTGTAAGGTTCGTATTTCCCGCCTGTCTGAGCCGTTCCTCCCTCGCCGTAGCCGGCCGCGCCAAACCAGTTGTTGCCGCTGTTAGGGATGTTGTGGACAGCTCCGCCCTCGATCTTGGAGTAGTCTCCCTCACCAGCGCCCTTGTCATGACGACCCTTCTTTCGGAAGCAGCAGCAGCAACATTTGAAGATGGCAATGGGGATCCAGAGGAAGGTTGCGAAGCAAAAGGCTTTCCACCAGACTCGTCCGTGTCGAATCTTCCCTCCTGCAGCTCGTTTCTTTTCTGCGTGCACAGTTAGCGGGCTTCGGCGAGCAGCGAAAAGATGAGACATACCGATAGAGTAGCCCCATGCTAGACCGCACAGAAACAGCAAAAGGACGGCTGACAGGACGGCAGTAAGAATGACCGCCCAGATCGGCCAGGTCCCGATATAGCCAGGACCGTTTACCCTCGTTGACGAGGAGCTCTTGGAGGATGTTCCGGAGCTGGATCCTGCAACGACGGCACCGGCACCAACACCGGCACCTGCAGCGGCACCGGCACCGACGGAGCCGGAACTGGATGAACTAGAGCCAGAAGATGATCCCGGAGTGGAGGAGCCTTTGGTTGATGAGCCGGACCCTGAAGATCCATGTGACCCTCCGGATCCGGATCCGGACCCGGATGACCCAGATGACCCAGATTTACCGCCGCCGCTTGAACTGCCGCCGCCTCCTCCCCGTCCACCGCCGCCGCCTCCACCACCCCTAGGGCTACGGGCCTCAAGTGGCAGCAGCTCATCGACGAGGGCGTCCAGCGTGGATCGTGGTAGTCTCATGGTGACCGGCCGTTGGTGGATTTGACGATGTCAAGTCAACGAGCACATCATGACGCGGGACCCGGCCCAAAGGTATTTGAATCGTCAACGACGACGACGACGCGGTTGAAAAGGAGTCGCGGGAGGAAATGAGGTCTGACCTCTTGTGGCTACGCGACAGGGGGTCGCGAACTCCCGATTGGAGAGGCGGTGCGGCTGAGGAACGCCATGCAGTGTGACCGCCCAAGGTTTTGAGGGACCTTGTTGCCAAGTAGGGACTAACAAGGTGGTCGGCATTGATAAAAGCCATGTGCTTGGATCTTGGCAGGGCTTTTTTTCTCTGGCTCCATTGCCCTTTTGGAGCTATGAGTGCGAGGTTGGCTCCTTTGTCTCAACGAATGATGACGGCTTGGCAGGGCGTCTGAACACAGTTCACAGGCAGTCAGATGTATCACCAAATCACCAAATATCTTGAAGGGAAGCGGGTGATTCGAAATTACTACTAATATACATTGAGACGATTTGCTTTCAGCGTCGAGGGCTATCTAAGGTAGGCGAGAAAAGTCCATTTCCATATCCTGTGATGCCCGGTTTATTGCAGAGCGACGCTGCTAACAAGATCGCAGATGCCCAATGATCCACTGAATGGATCCATGACTGAATTGTATCCAAGGATAGTCGTGCACAAGCGCGGCCCTAGGGTTGGGATAGCCATACCCGTTGGAACTTGGAGGGAGGGTAACCATACCGTATGAGTGTACTCCATTAAATTCACTTTTACTCCTGGACCGTGGACGCCCTCGAGCCACGCAAAGTCACCGCCGCAGCCTCAAATTCTGAGTCCGCACTAGCTGGGCCTCGCCTGGGTGTCGTCTGTGGTGTCGCCTTGCGTGGCTAGAATGCGTGCACGCTCCTTGAGTAAAAATGAACTTAATGAAGTAGGTCTCATACGGTGCCCGTTGGAGTTTCGAGACTGGTCCAACCATGGGGGCCGCGAGGCTCCCTGGTACTGGACGAGAGCCGTCGCGGCTTCGAACCGATCCTGCTGGGACTGGAGCTGGGCCAGCTGAGCCTGGAGGATTTTCATATCATCTTGGACCTTGGGCAGAGCCGTGAGTTGACGCTCAGCCGCTTCCAGACGCTGTTGGGTGCTGGAGAGCTCAAGTTCAAGACTCTTTATCCTCTCGCTCTGGCTTACAGAGGCGGCCGGGTTGCCGTCCAGCACGGGGCCGCTGGACCTTGGATTTCCAGTCTCAGCATGCGGTGCCTCGTTTTGCGCCTCAGAGCGGACGCCGCCCATCTCAGCCTCGACGGCGAGAAGCTGTCGTCCGATCTCACCGGCTGCAGCCACCGGAACCGGAGGCTGAACCGGAGGAATCACGTTGTTGGGTTGTGCGCGGGCGATGGCGCTACCTGCGGGTTGGGACGACGGGTGTTGTGCGTCCGATGGACCGGCGGCGATGCTGGGTTGTGCGCGGGCGATAGCGTTGGTGGGTTGGGGTGAGAGCGATTGTACGTCCGGTGAAACCGCGCCATTGTCTTGGGTATTGTTTGTGACGCTGCCCGGTGCCTGCGCCTGCGCGTCTGCGATACCGCCGCCGCCCACATTCGGCTGCTGTCCGAGGTAGTCCGCACGGAACCGGACATTGGCGTCGAAAACTGGCAGGAAGTTGGCGGGACTCCATCCGAGCGTGTGCTCTGCCAGCCAGGCGGCGTCGTCGAAGTCGGCCCCCTCCTAGTAGGGCTCAACCTGACGGACCGCAGGCTCCTGGAGGATGAAGTCCAGGTCCAGCCTGTCGTAGGCCGGACGCAGCGGAGGCGGCACCGCGTTGTCGCGCGTGATGCTGAAGCCGAGCGCCTTGAGGGCGAGCAGCACCTCGGGCCGGCAGCAGGCACCGTGGATCGGGCCGTGCTCGTTCTCGGACTCGACCCAGGACGCGTGGCCGGGCTGGCGCCAGTCGCGAGACTGGTCCCCGAAGCGGCCCCTGGTGAACTGGCGCCACAGCTGGTGCTTTTTGAGGTCGGGCCCGGTCTGGGTGCGCGCGAGCTCGGCCCAGACCTCGTTCATGTCGATGTGGGAGGGGAAGCCGGCCGGGTAGTGGGCCGTCATCATGTCCTGGAGGAGGTCCGAGACCCAGGGCCGGTCTTCGTCCGCCATCCGAGGGACCCGGTTCTTGGTGCGAGATCTGGGGGGCATGTTGCTGCTGGGTGGGTTAGTTTATTGGGACTTGGGAGGATCGGATGGATGGACTTACATTGATCGACTATGACTTGGAGAGGTTAATTGGTCGGTTTCTTGGCGAAGACGACGGTCTTTTGCTGGAACTGGCTTGGATTGTGCTGGTCTGCGAACCGGTTAGCTCAAGTTCTCACCATTATGATTGGTTTTGCCAGCACAGATGAGCTGGTTGCTTGGGCGGACATACCTGGGCGAACCGCGAACACAACGATCTTCCGCCGAAGCTGGCTTATACTGGTTATACTGGTCTGCGAACCGGTCAGCTGAAGCTCTTACCATGACCACGGGTTTTTAGTGAGCATACATGAGCTGATTGCTTGGATAGGCAGGAAGGTCGGTGGGACAGATTCTCTGGCCGGAACGAGCTTGAACTTTACTGGTCTGCGAAATCGGTCAGCTCAGATCATGACTATGATGACAGGTTTCACCCAGCGCACATGAACTGGTTGCTTAGACAGGCTGGCCGATGGAACAGCTTCTTGCCCGAGGGAGGGCAGGAAGGAAGGTGTAGTCGGCGACCCAGACAGCCCGGGAATGTGGCGAGATGAAATAAAAGGGAAATAAGAAAATCAAA